TTTGAAAAAAAATCCCCCGCGATCCTTAGGCGGTGCACGAGAGCACAATACAGCGCGGGGAGGCGAGCGTTCACGCCGCTCGCTGTACGTTGTCTCTGAGCCCTCTAGCGCCGACAATCCCGTCATGCCTCGCCCAGGCGAGAAGCGAGAGCAGACGACGAGAGTTCATCTACTACGATGCGGCATTCGCACAGCGCAACTGAAAGAAAAAGTGAGTTTTCTGCTTGAAATCGCGTCCCGCGGGCCACGAACTCAAACGCGAGCTTGAATTGTAAGCGTCGGATGTTTCGCGACGGGACGAATCAGCGACCCATGTTTTATTTGCAAAATTTGAGTCACGCTTTGCCGTACAGACGCTGAAACCTCCCAGTGTGTAATGAAAGGCCAAGGACAAGCACAGAGGCCGCTAGATCTCGCATCATCTGTGTGCGGGTGAAAAGTGGAACATTTTTTGACAAAGCTCCCACAGCAGAAACCTGTGGGGCATTCACTCAGCGTCCGGGAAGGCTAAACATGGAGACGTTGCCCAAGGCTCAAGCAGAGTCATATTTGAACGGCAACTATCTTGCCCCGTCGTATTTAGTTTGAGAAAGCTATCGTTCTCAATGCCCTCACCAGGGAAATAAAAAGTCTTACGAAACGTATTGCTAGATGTTCCAAAGAACTAGATTTAAGCCGTATCCTTTCAGTGGTTCACTCATAATACTATGCTTAAAACGATGCAAGCTCTTGCGCGTACAGTGCCATCAATTTTCTCAAGTGTATGCTCTTTTGTAGTCAGCTGGTTTCGGAAACTTACGCCGTCTGTAGATATTTCTGACAGCCGAGTTCCTTAATTGGAAGTCATCGCAAATATAAGTTTATCTATAAACCAACGTTTATAGATAAACGATGGCAGCGACTGGCGCTCTCGCATTCCCAACCATCACGCCGAACAAGAAGGCGCTAGTTTTGGTTTGAGGTCGGTACTTTTCTACAGCATCTATGGCGATAGCATCAGTCTGCACTCGGTGCATTCGGCAAGTGCGTTCGGGGCCGGCTCTCCGTGCAGCACTCCGCGGGTGATATGCATTCGAACTCTCATAGTGCAAGTCTGGATAGCGGATCGGGAGCCCGTCACTGGCCTCACCGGCGGCCATTGCTTGACAACAGGCAATACGCCGCGTCCTGTCTAGTTCTCCCTTCGTTTTCGTCCTTGTTGTTTTGGCGTATTACATTATGAGGCAATACACGCAAGTCTAAGGGAGAAACAGGCAAAAATAGGAAGCTTGTACGTGGTGCTCGAGGGCCAGGTTTTTATGACGTGCTACGATGATTATATCGGGTGCTTGGAGATAAAATAAACATTCGTCAAACATTCGAACATCAATTTAAAAAAAAAGAAAAAATGGGCCGGAGCATTACCGACTTTACCGACCTCGCTTGCTTCGGTTGCGAAATAAACGGCACGTTCAGCGACTGAACGGCACGCTCCGAGTTTCAGTTTCTGTTCAAAGAAAAAGCTTTCACCATGAAGTACTATGTACACGCGGTTAAAACTATAGGAATGTCCCCAGTGAAGGCCTTCTAACTTATAGTTTGCTGAGCTCTGATGTCTCCGAGATCACGAATGACTCCACTCTCAGTACCCCTTGTCTCATTAAACACATCACAGTTAACACCCAACAAAGTCGCCCTCGACCCTCAATCACGCAACATTCATTTAAACAAGATTGGTATTCTAACGCGTTTAATATTCTTGCCCACAATATTAACTGCTATTTGCGGAAACACGACAGAAGTTTTATGACCGAGAACTTACTAACGTAATAATTCAATTCATTTTTTTTCAATTCATTTTTTTTTATTTACTCCCATGTTTACATATGGGTGACGGAGACAGGGAAAAAAGCTGCAAAATGTGCAGCTTGACAAAGCCCCTGCCCCCTATCGGCAGATCGGCAGACAGGAAACGTTAACAGAAACATTTTAAAGGCGAAAAAACAAAACAGGGAGTTCTATGCAGGCGAAAAAAGTTTAAAAGTTAGAAGTGAATATTGTGCGTATTGTTTTCTTATTTAGTGCATCAAGACAGACATGGTGGTCTCTTAAAAAGTTCAGTAATGTTGGCAATGTATGCTGTAACATTTGAAGCCCATAATTTGTTCCCAAAAGCCCAAAATTGAGATTTCCCGTTTCTCCTATAGCATGCATTCGATCGTGCCAAGCGATGACTGCCGGTGGTGCCGTTCGACCCCAGCGCTAAGCACTATATATCGCAAAGCGCAACATATCTCAGTTTGTTGCACAATTCGGCGTTCTTCACTGACTTAAAGATTAAAAAAAAGAAAAAAATGTATCCCCACTGCCGCCCCACTTTCCTTTGACGGTTGAAGAGAGATGACGCAAGCTGCATCCCTCAAATTGAAAGTCAACCCGGAAGGCTTGCTTTAGAATAAACGTCATTTATTGATTTTGACAGCATTTACTGTATTTATATTTTTTTTTTTTACATTTTTCGGGACTGGGTGTTTTGGTTTCTGTACTTTATATGATTTTCTTCTTGAGGTGGTTTCTTCAAAAACTTCATCATTACTTTACTTACAAAAAAATACACACGTTAAGAACGAGGAAAAAAGGAAGTCAAAATCACTTTTGAAAGGAAAAATAATATGGGATTGTTTTAACAGTATATACTCAAGTCACGCTTTCATTAAAAATGGTGCAAAAATGAACAAAAAAACTGTGATATCTGTAGTTGTTCCGAAAAATAATTAAAGTGAGTCATTTTTTAATAATTCGCGCAACTTGCTGTGTAGTTGGGTAATTTAAAGTACTTGCCTTCGTCAAGTCCGCTATTAAGATGAAACGTTGACGAGAGGCTTCATTTGGAGTTTATAAAGTGTGTAGTTCAGAAGATCCAAAATACTTTAGGTCACAGTTTAAAAATAAATAAAGCGGAGGATATCAGCGTTGCCATCTGTGCCCCATGAAACGAGGCTCGTGCGTCTACATTCGTGCAGAGCACGGTAGTTGGCGTCAATGATTCGTAGCACTGAAGTCAAAGCTATGGTAGCCCATGAGCTCGCACCTGGCACTCTTCACTGTTTCCGAAGTGTCACAAGTAGTTGTTCCCCAAATATTTATGAAGGAAGGTCAGAGAATGAGGATGCCGGGAATACGTTTTGACTCATATACCAAGTCCAGATACGCCACGACACTATGGCATCTACTCCCCGAAGTTCGTAGGATCACGTGTCCTGTGTTACGTAGATTAATTAAGATTTCGGTAAATACATTTTTCCGACTTTGTCAATTGCCGCCTGTCCTCTGTAGATCAGCTCGTTTGCCTCCCTGAGATCTCTGCGGGTAGAGACTGCTTGAAAACCTTTCATATACCGTATTACAGCACCCTTCAGAGCAGCCGGCGTTTTTTGCTAATCTATAATCAAATTTGTTTTAGCTATCGAAGTTTCAAGTACTGCTTCAGTGCGTGAACAAAACAGCCTTTACTTATAGCAAGATAAGTGTTTTTATCAACGTTTATCCGCGTGATGAGTGAAGTAACATTTGCACTCTTTCAATGGATAATCGCTGTGTCCTTCATCCAATTCTTGTTCCGTAGTTACCACTTTATGTGAAGAATGACTCGCTAATTGCACATTTCAAGGGGCTGCCTATTTCGCTCGAGATTTTGAGAAAAGTTGATTGTCGAAAAAGAGCCAACATGAATAATTTAGTAAAAAACTGAACCTTAATAACAGGGTTTTAGTACGGATGGAACCAGCGAACAGTCGCTTGGTAAATCCTCTGAGCACCAATTAGGTGAATAATTTTCGCGAGCCTTCAACCACAAAAGCCGTCAGGACCAAAAAGAACACTGTTATGTTACAGAAACCGAACGGTGGCTCAATCATGATATCTCCTCGGAAAGCGAACCTTTCTATTACATAGAGTCGACAGTAGCCGGAGTGGGTGTGCAATCACCGTAATTATTTTCGGACGAGACCACGCACAGGCGAGCGTAACACTCCGAAGGCGCCAGAACTTCGCCGCAGTTTTCCCATCTAATTAGGCAAGACGGTAAAAAGTAGGCCATAAAACACGTCAATTGTTGCCTTGGATTTTCGAATAAGCTTTCACATTCGATGCAGTTGGCCATCACACTGATTGCGGTCTTTTCCTTGAAGAAACTCCAAAGACGGCTGTCCTCTTGGTACTATAGCTTAACAGTTACAATGTTTCTGACTCTCCTGGAATGCCAAGTAGAGCCATCAAGTGAAAATGGGGTTCGAGCGAACGGTCCTCGGACCAAGTGCCGCCCGGCAAACAATTAAGCCGCTGAGACTACACTCGTGCTAAAACATGGTTTCTTTGCAACCCGCACCATGTTTTGGTGAAATAGATGGAGGGTGCGAGCGTACCTTTAAAAACGACCTTTAATCCCAAGCCATCGCCATCAACTCTGGATTTGATTGCACCTATATTTCATAGTCCTCTTCTTTATTGCTCGACATTTGCAGAGTTGCTCCATCAATCGGAGCCGTTGACATGCCACGTGATGTCGAGGGACGAACACTCTCAGAGGCTTCTGCATGTACATCGTGCCGTGATGCACACGAGGCACAAATCTATCTCTAATCGTCTCAACCATTAAGAACGGCAATTCGTATTACACTCTAGTGGCTGGCCTCGGTGGCAAAATGAGAGGAGGTTATTCTGTAACTGCGAGCTGAAAGACCACAGGAGTGCCATGGTGCGCCCGCTGTTACCGCTGCCTAAATTTTTTAAAAAAGAAACATTGATGACTCGTGTTTTGGATGCATCGTGGGCCAGTTTGCACTCAGGATGGTCTAAGAGTGTCGAAAAGAGTAGGGATATTTTCAACGTGTGTACGTATGATACGAATCCCCCCGTTTGTTACGACCATTCCTCGAAAATCCTGAGATGGCGCAACACCGGTTCGCTTTTACAGGTCTCCGGCACTCCTCCTTCTGGGTCTGCTCGCGCAGACGCATACGATGACGGGAGCCACAGAAGAACTGACCCCCAGTGTCTGTGAGCCCGCAGACCAGCCAATGTCCTGTCGCTGCGACGAAGTGCGGGACCCCGGCATGGAGGGCGGCACGGAAGTGACGTGTTTCGTGGTCAGGACGCTGTCGGCTGACCACGCCGTCTTCAAGTCCCTGGAAAGGCTACCGTCAGTCGTGGCGGTCACCTTCACCGCGTTCGGAGAGAAGTATAAGTTGGACTTCGTGCCCACTGTGTTGCTGCGTCGGAAACCGCTCCTCCAGCGCCTCAAATTCTCACAGGCCGAGCTGGGCTCTTTGAAGAGTCACTCTTTCTACAACCACTCCAAGCTCGCCGTCCTTTCTCTCGATTCCAACGGGATCACGCAGCTCCAGAAGGATTCTATCGCCCACTTACCACGGCTGAGGAAACTCGAACTGGGAGACAACAAACTCGAGCGTTTAACGACGCGTTCGTTCCCCCACCTCCCCCTGCTGACCTACCTGTTCCTTGAGCGGAACCAGATCGAGGTCATTGAGGACCTCGCCTTCGCGGGGCTCTCGAAGCTGAAAGAGCTCGACCTGAGCGACAACGCGATGACCAACCTGACCGAGCGCACGTTCGAGGGCCTCTCCCAGGTGAAGCGTCTGGACATGTTCAGGAACAAGCTGCGGCGGTTGGACGCCCGGGTCTTCGGCGCCATGCCCCTCCTGTCCGAACTCGACCTCAAGTACAACGAGATCTCCGAGGTGGATCCGGTGGCCTTTGACGGACTCGCGCACCTGACGGTCCTGTACCTGTCCCAGAACCGGCTGCGGGTCTTGCCTGCCAACATGTTCGTCGGAGCGCCCAATCTGGTGAACGTGGACCTTTCGCAGAACAGGCTGCTCACGCTTACCTGGAGGACGGTCGAGGACTTGAGGAAGATCGGCGCAGAGTCCTTCGACATGAGCCTCACTGGTGAGCCCCTTTTAAGGAACCGCGAAGATATGTTTTCTTTTTGTAGAACTATATAAAATAAGGTAACTATACATTCATTTTCTGGATGTACATATTGTGTCTTGAAATATTGCGCTCATGCATACCTGTAATGTCAAATGAGTATTACATGTTAATTCATAAATACAAAACTTAAAGTGCGTTACTTTTTAACGGTAACGGCGACGTGTATATTGAGGTAACGTAAGTCGGTAACGGGTTCTTTTTATTTGTAAGTAACGAGTAACGTATACTAGTGAGAGAAAACCTTGAGACAAGGCAAGAATAAAAAAGGGGGACAAACACAACACCGTCTCTTAAATCCTTAGACAAGAGCCTCACTCGTGAGCCCCTTTTAAAGAAACACGAAGATATGTTTTCTTTGGGCTAACTAGAGCTCAGAAGAGGCAGTTCACAAAACATAAGGCAGGAATCAGCGTTTGATTATTTGCACTGCTTTCTTTCTTAGCAAATTGCATTTGTGAAATTCACATTCGTTTTTCACTCCACCTACACAGTTGTTTTGTCTCAACCCGAAAATGTCGCAGTGTATTTAAAGTGAACAAGAATAATATTTCCACTCTAGAACCATAAACTTAGTCGGGCTTGCCGGTGGTTTAACACGACGAAGTCGTAAAAACTACAAAATAGAAGAAAAACATTAGAAAACGTTGCAGCCGACAGCCGAGTCGGACCATGAGGCGCGACAGGGAGGAGCCTTTGGCTACTATAACCAGATAAAACAGTACGGGAGAGAAGGGTCATCCGATTACCGGCCATCAGCGCCCTATTTACGGACCCTCTAAGTATGTTTCGTTACTCAAACGCATCAAATAATTTCAATTTGTAAGTCACTATAGAGATTTCACATTCTAGCTCTACGAGATTACAATTCACGAACGTGATCGATGCTGGTAGGTGTAATAAGTCGCACACTGGACGCCACACTAAAAACAAAACTTTATTGAAAGTCACACTTGTATATATATACTATGGTAATAGCTACCAGGTCGCTGCCCGCTTCGTGATATGACAGTACATTCCGAGGCCCAGTTATCACAGTATAAATAACCCTATACGGAACCTTTTAGGAGTCTCAGAGGCAGCGCGTAAGCTAAGAAAAGAGAAGTCTTACGTTTCTTATCAAAACGTCGGCTGCCACTCAGAGGCTTCTAGATATACTGTATACCCCAATTTAGTCGTTACGCTGCATTTTGTGATGACCCTCACGGCATGTGACCTACGCACCCATTAAGTTTCCGCCTTAAATTTAGGGGCAAACATCGATATCACGTGATCTGACGTCATGAAACCTATGCACCAATTCAGTTTCCCCACTAAAACTGGCGGGAAAATTAACATCACGTGACCCAGCGTCGCATGATATGTATAGACCAATTCCATCTAGAAAATATGGCGGGAAATTTGCTGTCACATGGCCAGTGATGGCGGTAACGCGTTACAGGTAACGGCATTACCGCAAACGCGTTCTTTTTCTGGTAACGTAGTAACATACTAGAGAGTTTTAGGGAACCGTTTTTGCACATCCAATAAGGTACGCCATGGCCTCCGCTACGAAGTGCGCATGCGCTACCGCAGAAGACTCTCACATTCGCAGTTCGTACCGGACGGCCCATGGCACCGTATCGGATGTGCAAAAAACGGTTTTCTAAAACTCCCAATTGCTACTTTTCTAAACTGTAACGGGTAACGTACATACGTTATTGATTTCGAATAACGTGTTATATGTAGTTACGTTACACGTCATATATTCATCTCGAGGCTTTTTTTAAAAGAATTACACCGTAAAAAATAAGGTGAGTACGTTCAGTTTCTGGACTCACATAATACTGTTTGAAATATGGCGCTTATGCATATTTGTAACGTCGAAAGAGTAAAACGTGTTAATTGATAAATACAAAAAAGTAACGCTAAATTAACGTAGGTTACTTTTTATCGGCAACGGTAACGCGTTCCTTTTATTTGCAAGTAGCGAGTGACGTACTCCGTTACTTTTCTTCGGTACCGCCTACAACGCTGCACATGATCTACGCACTGTCTGTTCTCTTATAAAATTTAGCGAGGAAATTGATAAACATGTGGGTTCTTTGTCACTCCTCGAAACGTCTGTCAAATGTATTTTAAACTAATTTACGCTGTCGCTGCTTAAATTCTGCATTTCACTCATTTTCTTACTTTGGAGATAAAGGTGACTGCCACTTTCGTTTTTTACTATCTTAGTTTTTCGTTTGGAGTTGCGCGTATATGAAAATATGATTCGATTTCTAAGGCTAAACGCAGGAACTTGCCACGGAAAGCCGCGTCTCGTGTCGCATCAGGCTCTGAAAACATCCAGCGGGTCATTGTATTCGTGAGCCTCTGTCTCGCTCCGAGCCGAGCAAACGACTCTCCGGGGTTCGCTCAATGAGCCCGAACGATTTCAAGTGAGGCATGGCGGCGTTCTTTCGGGTTTTGATCGGTCCGACCTTGCGGGTCCCTCTTCGAAATTTCTCGGGTCTTTCAACAAAACTCCGAAGGCGTCGTCGGCGCCCACCCACCGGCCTCCCTCGGGGAGGACTCCCGTGACAGAGTAGTCGAACTGCGGTGCCCTACCTTCCTGCTCGCGGAGCGGAACTACTTCGGTATTCTGTGTAGCCGATAGAGTAGAGCAGCTTGTTATTGCTATGCGCTATACTGTCCGCAAAAGAAAAGGTGACATTACTGCGAGTGTCACTGTCCTACCCGTAGATTGGTCATTTCAACTTGCAGGGACCTGTACCGCGGTAGTTGTTATAGAACCCCGTGAAATTTAGAAAAAAAAGAAAAAAAGACTCACTAGTTTTCTGTAATCGTGACTAAACTCCGCCTTATTATGACGTGGTAATTCATGTCTCGTAAATATGGACACCGTTAGAAAGGGATAACCAGCTATGCGGGAAAGGCTGAGGTAGAGGAGATGATGCGTGCGCGGCGGTGGCGTCGGAACGCTGAGCTCTGGTTGGAATAATTAGTGAGTAGATGTAAAGCTAGCTGCCCTTGTCTCTACTCACACTCCGAACGGATTCGAACGTCGAACGCCGGCGTCTGGCGTCCGGCATTTGGCGTTCGCATTCGAATACATTCAAAGATTCAGTAGATACAAAGGCTTCGTGTCTACCCCGTAATCATTTAGCCATAGCTCGCGCTATGGCTTCTCCGCGTGTTCTAATAATTTCCACTCCCGCATTTTCTCTACGTAGAATGTCATATTTCTCGGCAATGAACTGGGTAAATGCATGTAATTTTCGTATCATTATTAAGGACGACTCATTTTATAAATTATGTTTCTTTTTCTTTTTTTGTCTGTGCGTGCGTGTGCGTGCGGGGGGGGGGGGGGGGGGGGGACGGAGGTACACATCGCGACACTGCTGGCGCGAACACGACATCGGCGCATTTCGCATTTTACTTCGAAATAGTATTAGCGAGCACGAAATTTGATCGCGTACACTAAAGAACTAAATGAGCTCTTTCCATAGCAATAATAATTTGGATGATATCCCTTGGTTTCAAAGAGAAAAACTGAAAAGACCGGTGATCTCTTGTTCACGCTAACAGTGTCGCGCCCTGTACCTATATTACTGAGGCACGACTGGAAGAGTGAACGCTAAGCCACTGTGTGCCAATCACAGGGACAGAACGAAGCATGTTACAACTCCCCACTGGAGTTCGGCTCGCTAATGCTACATCGTCATATGCCTCGTTCCGGCGCTCTGATTGGCTCCCTAGTGCACTAGCTTTGAACATTTGTCGTATACTGAAGAAGAGTATAAAACGTATTGAACTAGGAAGAGTGTTTAATCTTTGCCAGTTCTCTGATTGAGACGACTGAGAGGCTACCCTTAGCATCTCCCTGCAGACAGGCATTTTGCTCGATGATATCTCAGAAATCAGAAGGCAACGGTGCAGAAGAGCATGTTTACAATCGCTAATTCAGAATTCTTTCGTGCGTATGGAGCATGAGTCATACCATAACCACGTGTAATGCCGTGCTTTTATCATTCGCTTATCAGGAATATTGACGCTTGAAACTGCGCCGTCAACCCAATATTGCAACTGAAACCACATACATATTGTTTTTCAGCTGCAGGTAACAAGGCTGAATCCTTTTAATACAAAACGTCTCCCGAAGGTAACTCTCGTTTCTCCTTAAAATGTGAAGCACGTGTTACGGTTCAACAGTGTTGGCCGGCTGCCAAATACCTACGCCGCGATCTTCGCCGGTGCAACTGCGATGAAAATTACACAGCAGGACACTTAAGACTGCTTACGTGTAGGAATGCAAAAACATTATAGTCCCGCGTGGTCGCATTACAGTCCACCGTAGGAAGCACACAACGAGCACAGATGAAGTCCCAAGCGCACCTTATGCAGACGGTGCTCCGGAGGTGATATCACGCACCTCATTGCGCAGGCGTCGGCGCTTCGCCGGTTTCACGGCTTCTGTGACGAAGCATCTGCGTTGCTGTGCTTTTCTTTGTGTTTTATTTCTGAGGCGCGTCCGCTTTGACCTTGGGTAGCGGCAACCCCACCGGCTTCACGGCTTCCGTGAGTAAACATTGGCGTTGCTGTGCTTTTCTTTGCGTTTTATTTCTAATGCGCGTCCATTTCATCTCGAACGACGCGTGCTTGAAGGCGTATTTTCATGTTTATCTTTCGGGGACAACACCGACGACGCCTCTTCGCGTAATGGGACCATATACGGCTTTCACCGTAAAAAAAAAACCAGGGGCAGAGTGGACTCGGAGATGCTTCGAGAAGACTTCGTCAGCCGCGAAAGCTTCGAAAACAACAAGTGAACGGTTTAAAACGAGGACGTGGCGACCCCTGACACAGCATCACGTGCCTGGAAGGCTTAAACTGGTGTATATGTTATCTGCGTTCCTTGTAAAACGCGATTCTGCATATATTATGACGGAATTATCATTAGATTGAACTACAACGGCAGTATTTATTTTACACATGGGCAAAGTCACAAACTCTCTATAAATATCGTGTCTGTCACGTCACAAAATCTGGAATAATGAAGTGGAGACGTTTGTCTACCATTAGGAGACGTCACCAATAGCGAGGGACGTGTGCCTCGGCGTCCGAGACAATAACTGGAGTGACTATAACCGACGTACTAACCCCTGTAAGTTGCCTTAATCGTAGATACCCGTAGGTGAGAAAAGAAAACGAAAAAGGAGCGCCGATTATGATCAGTACTGATTGTTGACGTCACGACAGGAGTGGTCCGTCTTGTGTTTGGAAGGGTCCGCCTCGCTCTTCCTTGCCGTCATGGGTTTCCTCTCGCAGAAGGTGTTGTTTATCGAGACGCACGTACTCAGGAGCTCGTGCCCGTATGCTGCCTCGCCATGACCTCGAAGCACCAATCACGGTTATTCCTTTTCGGGGCCCATCGATTATATATATATATATATATATATATATATATATATATATATATATATATATATATATATATATATATATATATATATAGATATATATATATATGTTTTCATTTCTTTATTTGTGTGTGTGTTTGTGTTTGGGTATGAGGGGAAGGGGGGAGGGTAATTTTTATCTAATTTGATCTCGTTGCGATATTTTTTATCCTTTGTTGTGTATTGTCGGTGTATCTGTGTACTGCTCACTTCTGCTATAGCCTTAATGAGATAGACACCTAGATAAAAAAAAGATATAGCAATCTTTCTTTTGTAGATAGCTGAGCGTGTTGGGTTTCTATTTTCCGATAAGGAAAGAGGGACATTGACAACAAACAGGCAAGACAGGCTTTCGACTTTCAAGAAAACGTTTACTGGCTCGACATCGCCTCCTGAAGCTCGACGGTGGCGTCCGGGAAGTTGAGAGGGAGGGTAGTGGGTGAGGGAAGCGTGAGCCATGTGGCCCTGCTCGCAGCCACGCGTGCACGGCGTAAGGTGAAGTTTGCTGTGTGTCAATCGACACGTCGCCGTTACACGCAGGCCCCAGTGTCGACGGTGCCCTCTTGGGGATAGGAGGGAGGAGGGGGGAAGGGCGCGGAGAAGAGGCGAAGGAGATGCTCCGGCGGTGCTCTTTTGGGGAAGGAAGAGAAAGGGGCGGAGGGAGGGGAATGCGCGGAGAAGGAGCAGAGGCCAGATTCACGAAGAGCTTCTTAGTTTACTACAACTTAGCTAAGAAGTTCGTGAGCTAAGAACATCGTAAGAAGAGGAGAAATCGGTATTCACGAACGCTTTTTTAAGTGAGAGGAGGAAAGTGACGTTGTCGTACGGAAAAATAAAACTTACCGGTGTTGTTGCTATGGCGACGAAGCCGGAGGCAACACGAACAACCAATCGGAGAGCTGGGCATTTGTTCGGAGCCGTTCGGAGCACGTGGATTTTTCATACCAAACACAGGCGGTCTCTCTGCCACCGCTTGTCTGGGGTTCGTGTCCGTGCTGTGATATATCGACGCTAACACGCTTTAAACACTCCCGAATGCCGAGGCCGGGATGCGTAACCACCCCCATTGACTGCTACGAACTCGATCGCTACGAAGTCAGCACAACTGTCATCGTTGGTAAAAGACGGCCCGCAGTCGTTTGCAAAGCGACGTAGATGGAAACAAATTGCCGCTCCGTTTTTTGCGGCCTCAGAGATGCAGGAGCGAGCCGACGTTAAAACAAAATAAGTTTGAACTACGAGTGTCAGCAATAGCCACGTAATACCTGTTCACACTCGGAGCGAACGCGCGCGTTTGATCGAAGTTATGGGTTCGCGCTGTTGGGCAGCGAATTATTAAGCGCTTCTGGACCGATTCTTTACAATTGCAACTCGATGCTGACGTGACACCCGGTAAAGAAAGTTGGACCGGCATTGCGACCCACGAACTGTTATAGCGATCGACAGTGAGGTGCAGTCGTGTCAGAATAAAAATGGAATACTAATAACAAAGTGTACATACCATGTTGCGAAGGTAATTCATACGGCGTTTATTTGAGCTCAATATCACACAAAACAGAGATAGAATCGATGAGAGCAACTTTTCGACGACAGCGTTCGTCACCGCTGCCTCGGAAAACAAGAAGATGACAAGAGGAAGAGATTGACCTCTTAATCTAAAATTGAGATCAGCGATCAAACTATAATACGGGAAGGGTTCACAAGGGTCGCGCGGGCATATTCCATTCAGCACGCCAGCCGGTCGTGGGCAGACGGTCTTGGCCAAGGACCGTCGGAGCACCGCTGCGCCGAGTCGGAGTGCCTTCTAGGCCTATCTGCAGTGATCGCTCGGTCGGGGTCCGTGGAATCGTGGCCGTTGGAGCTTTTCCCCGGTGTTTGTGGATCCAGCGTTCTTGTTAGTTCGTCGTGGTTTGTTTCAAGTACTTATTACTTTCTTCTTGCTGCTTGAAGTCGAGACGCGTGAGAAGCGCACGTAGAAAAATAAACGTCCGTTGGTTGTCGCGACCAACCGAGCGACGCTGTGGGCCATGCTGATTTGATCGTAAGAAGAGCGTAAGACAGCTTCGGAGCTGTCGTAGGATTTCGTCGTAACCTGCGCAAAACTTACGCAAATTTCGTTTCGTGAATACGAATTTGTTCTTAAGTTTTGTCTTACGCACAATTTTGGCGTAAGATCGTTTCGTGAATCTGGCCTCAGATGTTTATGTCTTTGGGGGAACCTCTCGCCACACAGGAAGCGAATCTCTTGATCGGAAAGAGAAAGGGATGGGCTCGACAGGTTTGAGACAGAAGATTTGATATGTAGAAACTGAAGTATTTTCCTGCCGAGATTTCTGCCCGCCGAGAATTTTGGTTTTCGAGAAGTCAGGGGGGCACGAGGGGCAGTTTTTGGCGTGAGCCACGGATGGATGAAAGGAGTCGGGAGAAGGACACGAGTTCTCGTTGGCGTGCTCCCGGAGAGGGTCATTCACACAGCGCCCCGTCTGACCGATGTACTCGGCTCCGCACACAAGAGATAGAGAGAGAGAGTAAACTTTATTTTTGTACGCCTGGTCCTGCGCTCGTTAAAAACGTTTTGCACACTAAAAAAAAAAAAAAGAAAAGAAAAAGGAGCTCGTGGGTCCACTCCTCCGCACAAAACTCGTAGAGCCAACCACCGCAACCCACGGAGGCAGCCCAGCGAACGACGATGCCGAAACATATGTCTAGACCAAAAAACGCAGTCCGAGCCGTGACACCAAGCAATGCAAGCGTGACGTTTTACAATGCCCAATGTCACAACTCAGACCGCGCCCCCCTGTCCAAACACACGCCACGGCAACGCCACCGGCCGAGCCGCCTCCGCAAGTCGCGGCGACCGGCCCCCCAAGCGCTGCACGGGAAAGCCGACGCACGGGCCTTTTTTAGATTGTGGAGTGTTTACGATTCCTCTTCTGGGAGGGTGGTTATGATGTGTTGGGGGAGAGTATCTTGGTACACGGTGACGAGGTGTTTGGGTGGACGGAGCCATTCTTCGTAGGATGAGGGCCGTAGAGTAGGTGATATGCAAGATAAAGCCGTGCGTTTTGAAGATTGGGCATTGGGACATGCCCAGAGTGTATGGTGGTTGTCTGGGTATCCTCCACAATGTTTGCAGGTTGGCCAGCACTTCTAGATATATAATGGACGAAGTTGTCTGTAAGCAGCAATAATGTCTGCGCTCTTCTTAGGAGTACTTCTTCCTTCCTTTCAAGCGAGCGTTGAGGAGGGGGCAGAGTTCTGACATTTTCCTTTAGTTGCTTAAGTGTGAATTTCCTTGTAGTTCTGCAGATGGCTCTCTCGGTGCGTGGGTTGTACTCAGGCGGCCATATAGCTGGGGGTCCCGGCAAAGGTTCTCGGGTGAGGAGGTGAGCCTCCTCGTTCCCCTCTAGGCCATCATGGCCTGGTGTCCATTGTATCGTGACCGTTATGTTCCTTCGCAGATGCAGGTAATCCTGGATATGTTGCCTAATGTGTGAAGGCAACGTGTTATCTCGGAAAGCCCTGCATGGAGCTTGGCTATCCGTCCGGATGAGGATGGATGAGGATGGATGGATTGGATGAGGATGTCTTCCGTAGGGTGGTAGGGTAGTGTTATTGCCTCGCCGATAGCAGTTATCTCCGCTTCCTCTGGAGTGGGGATTTCTACATGTTTGTTCTGCCAGTTAAGGTAGTGACTGGCGACTGATGTGGTGCTCATTTCTTCTTTGTGTGAGGCGTCTGTGTAGTATAGTGTGACGTGGGCCGGGATTGGAGAGGTGCGGAGTCTATTGATCCTTGCCGCCCTCCTTGTGGCGTATCTTTCGTTGTCCATGTTCCGAGGGATAGGTAGAACCGTTAGTCTCGGGATGTATTCCCACGGTGGAGGGATGTCGGGGATCTCTTCAGGGGGAGGTGTAAGGTAACCCTGCTGCCTGAGGATCTGTCTTCCTTGCATCGAGGTTAGTAGGCGATCATGTTGGGATTGCCGTTGTATGTCGTACCGCTCCTCCAGCGTGTTAAAGGTGCCGGTTACTTTGATACGGTAATTCGCTGAGAATCGTGGGATGCCCAGTGCAAGCCTCTGGCCTTTGCGAAGAATCGTTTCAAGTTTGGATGTTTGAGTCTTGGCGAGTCGGATGTGTGGTAGTTGGTAAAGAGTCCTAGAGTATACGAGGGCCTCAAGTATACGTCTCAGATGTTCTTCTCGTACGCCTCTGTTCTTGCGTGTGATTCTCTTTATCATGTGATGTATTTGTTGTATTTGTGCGGTGAGTTTCGTTAGCCAAACGTTCCATTTTCCATTGTCCTGAAGCCAGAAGCCCAGGATGCGTATGACGTCTTTGCGTTTTATCTGTGTGTTTGCAATGTAGAGATATATGTGGTTTCTAGTTTCTTCGGCCTTCCTACCGGTCGCGTTAGTTACAACTATGTATTCGGATTTTTCTTGGGAGCAGGTTAGCCCGAGCTCTCTAGTGCATTTATGTACAGCTTCAATACCCCTTTGAATTATTTCCTGTGGTTCTCCCGGGGATCCATTGTTACACCATAGTGTAATATCGTCTGCATACACGGCGTATTTAAGGTTGGGTATGTTCTGAAGTCTGTTCGGAAGGTCTTTCACGGCTATATTAAAAAGAGTGGGCGACAATATCGCTCCCTGTGGGACTCCTTTCTCAGCTCTGTGTTGCGGAGTAGTATGGTCGTCGACTCTGACCTGAACGAATCTGTCTCGTAAGAAATCTTGGACGTATCTGATTAGTCTATTTCCGACTCCTAGGTCTTTTGTCTTTTGGATTATTGCTTTGTGAGCGACGTTATCAAAGGCCCCTTTGATGTCAAGTCCAACGGTCATATATGTCCTCTTTAATGCGGAGCATGACTTGCTGCGTGCTGACGTGGGATCTGAATCCTACCATCGTGTGAGGCAAACATTCGTTCTTGTCGATGTGCCAAAGCAGTCTTTCAAGGACCAACTTTTCCATAACTTTGCCTATACATGATGTTAATGAGATAGGCCTGAGATTTGAGATTTGGTCGGGCGATTTACCTGGTTTGGGGATTGCTACGATTGTGGCTATTTTATATTCTTGGGGAATTTTGCCAGTTTCCCAAGCGGCGTTGATGCTTTTTAGTAAGTGTTCAAGTTGGTTGTCCGGAAGGTTACGGAGCATTCGGTAGCTTACACCGTCTTCTCCTGGGGCAGAGTTTCGTTTGATGTTGGCGAGGGTCCTGGTGAGCTCGTTCAACGTAAAAGGCGAGCTTATTCCTTCTGCTTCGTCCGTTTCCCTAGGTGTTTGGTCTTCTGCATTTGCAGCGTCTTCAGGTGCAATGCTAGGATAGAACTGGTCGATCAGTGCTCTCCCTATTTGTTCTTTAGTGTTTCCCGTTCGGAGCTGTATCTTGGTTAGAGAGTGTTTGGGTTTAGCCTGTCCGAGGAGCGTGCGGAGTATGTTCCATGCCCTTGCTGTGTGGAATTGGTTGTTTAGATTATCGCAAAGGTCGAGCCAGTTGTTCGTCACGAGTGTCTGTGCGTAGTCCTGTGCTTCTTCTGTTATGTCTTGTATGGCTTTCTTGAATTTACGGTTTTTATTGCTCTTGCGCCATTTTTGAATGATTTTATGCCTTTTATCCCATAGCGCCACGAGGTGTGTGTCAATCTGAGGGAAGACTTCAGATCTGCATATTTTTTTGGCGTTTTTGTCTCGGGTTCTGTGAAGAGTTTGAATCCATGAACTAAGGTTTTCCGGATAGTCCGCTTGTTCTGCGAGTTCCTGTTTAAAGGAGTCCCAGTTTGTAATATTGGTTGTGGGTCCGCTTTTTGTGCGTCCCTTTCTAATCTGGACGGTGACTTCAAGAATAAAGTGGTCACTTCCAAGATTTTCTTGCGTGTTTGTCCAGTAGACATTAAGTTGGCCTTTGTAAAATGTCAGGTCGGGGGAAGTATCTTTCTCGACGCTGTTGCCTTCCCGTGTTGGGGTTGTCGTGTCGTTGAGGAGTGTCAGTGCTTGTTCCGAGGCTAGGCTGTCCAATTTCCTTCCGTTTGGGGTATTAGTTGTGTAACCCCATGATTGATGTTGACTGTTAAAGTCTCCGAGTAGCAATGTTCCAGCTCTATTGTTGTCTTTCATTAGCTTTCTTAATAGCTTGGTCTCTGCTTTGTACTGTCGTGGTGTCCAGTAGCAGTTAATAACAAGGATCTCTGAGGCGAAGTCTGGTGAGTCCGGATGCTTAATCTTGACCGCGACTGTTTCTTGTGTTGTCGTGTTGAGATGGGTAGTGTCCAGTTGGATGGAGGCCAGACTTCTGGATACTAGAGTGACTGCCATGGATTTGGTTTGGGTTTGGTCTCCCTTCTTGCTGGTTATGCTTGGTTGCGCGTATGAGTCGTAGCCAGGTAAGGAGACTGGCCCGTTCGTTTCCTGCAAGGCTATGATGTCGGGTTTGAACTCTAGTGAATTGAGATGCTGTATGAATATTCCTCTCTTGCAGCGGATACCTCTGCAGTTCCACTGAAGTATATAAACGTGTGATTTGTGTTTTCGATGATGAGTATTAGTTTCCGTTGGTGAGTTATTCATCGTTGATGGTTCCGTCGTCGTTTTCAGGTAATGTGGCCAGAGCTTTGTGGGGCCTGTTCGGTGACAGCGCGTGTCTTTTCCTGGTAATTTGGAGGTTGGCAATAAGCTGCTCGTTTTTGATCGTGGCGGCCTCTATGTCCTCAACTTGTTTGGATATCTGGGTCAGGCTGTTGGCGATCTCTTGTATGAGGTTGTCTCTGGCTTGATTACTAGCGTTGTTTGCCTCTATCGAAGTTTGGACGGCGTTAATAAAAGAGTCGAGTTTGACCAGAATGTTGTCGACCTTTGTCTCTAGGCTGTTCGTTTTGGTTTCAAGTGCGTTAAGGCGTGCCTCGTGCGTGCTTTTTGTGTGCTGGGGAATTTCTAATGCGTTGTTTCTTGATATAATCCCTTCTTTTATGGCTTCTGCAATGCTTTCTGTTTGTGGATTTTCTCGTGCAATCTGTAGGGCATGAGCATAGCTGCACGACGGGTGCTCTAAGTGTGTCACTTTGGCGTTCTTCTGGTGTGGCTTGTTGCCTTGTTCTTGTTCATGTGTTGGGGGGTTAGGTGTCTGAGTGAGGGGTGGAAGCGTGCTTCCCGGTCTTGAGCTGGGGGGGTGCGCCTCCTTGGGGTAGGTGGCTCTTGTATGATGCATGCCAGTTTCTCCGACAAAATGAGGGTCGATTGGTTTTTGTTTGGGGTTGTTGGCGCCAGCTTGAGATCCTCTGGGTGGAATCTCCTCGGTTTGGAGTAGGAAGAAGCGATTTGACGTCGGCAGCTCTGGCCATTTTTCGTAGTTGTTGGAGAATCCTGCCAGCGTGGAGTGGTTTCTTGTGGAGGATCCGTTGGAGATTTTCCAGGTGTTGCGGCGTTCGATTGCGGCCTGTTGGACGGCTTGTTCAGCTTGCTGTCTTCTACGACATAGGGGAGAGTTGGGAGGGTGTTCGCCTTGACAGTTAACACAGTGCGGTTCACATTCGTGGGGGGGTCTGCGTGGGGTCCTGGTTTGAGGGGAAGCGTTTGCTGCATCGAGGGCATGTGTTGTGTGCAACTTTGAATAAGCAGACGTCCGCACGGCGGCCTATATCGTAGCAGTGCGCGCACAGGGTGCTGCGTGGTCGATGGGGATACAGACGGTAGGCGACTCGGTTAACAAATGCGTATCTGGATAGCCTGGGTCCCTCTACCGTGATGAGAATGGTTTGAGACTCCCCAATCCTTCGTGCAGCAAGGAGCTTGGCTTGCTCAAGAATGAGAGAGCCTTGGATGTACTGGTGGGAATAGTGGGGCCTGATGCCGTGGATAACCCCCCTAGCGTTGTTTGGACTGTTGGCCTTGTAAGACTTCACATGAAGCTTGACGTTTTGGTAGGTTAGCGAACTGAGCGCTAGGATTTTATTTTCGGCGGAAGTGCGGTACGTGTCGATGGCAATTAGGTTTTGGAGGGAACGTACCTTGACATAGGTATCCCCGATCTCTTTGGGTGTGAGGCGCGCTGCCTCCAGAATTGCGGCTCCTAGGTCATGGGCGTCAATTTTTTCGAGGTGTATGGCCGACCCAAAGCGGATGATGATGGTGGCCGCTTGGGAAGATCGGGGTGCGAGACCAACGGTCTGCCATGATCCGTCATTTTCGTTGAGATAATCGATTTCCATGGTGTGAAGAGCAGAAGCGACAGCCAGGTTGGGCGAGTTCGAAGCGCTCTTTGACCTAGCTGGCGCTAGGCCAAGCGCCACCTCTTACTTCCGTGTTGGAATATTCTTCGTAAGAGGGTGAAAATTCTACGTGGTTGGTCAAAAATTTACTCACGTGTCTAAGACGTGTTCCGTA